ATTTCTTAGCACTCCCTAGTTTTTGCATTATGTGATACTGAGCAGCCACTCATCCTTGCTGTGTTATTCTACTGCATTTACAGATCTCTACTATGGCCCCATTCAATCATCTCTTTCCCAGTTGAAGAGGCTGAGCCTATTCAGTCACTCTAGCTGAGAAGCTCTTGAAGAAGCTCTCCTCTTAATCATCCCATTGTCCTCTCTATATCTTTTCCAGTTCTATTAGAGGTTTTCTTGAGGAGCGGGAAGAAAAGAGAGAAACCTACCAGAAGTGCACACAGCACTTCAGTCACAGGTAGGGCTGTGGATACATGACAGTGTATGGACATGCTGTTGTACTCTTTTCCTGATAAATCCTAACATTCCCCTCCCCACTCTGTTGGTTTTTTTTTTTGTACCATGAATGAACATTTAGCTCAATGTTTTTACAAAGCTATCCATTAAGACCTAGGGATCTCCTTCTCAAGTTATCCTCACCCATCCAGATGTTGAAAAAGAAACCACCCAGCATGTGGAATAAATAAACAATCCTACCTCTCCCAGCAGCTCTTGTTCCCATCTGTTATCTTACCTCCTAGCTACTAAAAACAACAGGTCCTTCTAAAGTCTTTACTACCCCAAATAATTTAGTGTTGCCAGCAAACTTCATTAACTCACCATTCACCTGTTTTCCAGATCATCAGCCCAGATTCCATGGAATTCCACTGGCACCTCCTTCAGGAGACATATTATTTATTTCCAGACTACATTTCTTATCATACAAGAAGCCACTCTGCTGTGTAAGGACCTTCCCTTATCCATGACAGCTCAGATTCTATAAAAGCTTCTGGTGAAGGATCTTGCTGACCTACCTTTGAAAATCCAACCCTCTGCTTTGTTCACTTACCAACTTCCTTAGAAAGTTCCAAAGGATCTGCAAGGCAAGCCATTTTGCCAAAAAGCAGTGTTACCCTATCTTTACCTGTACAGACATCTAATTTGTCCTTCACTACTTCTACCTTGTCAGCTCATCCTGTGCATGTAGATGTGGCACTCAGGGACATGGTTTAGTGGTGGATTTGGCAGTGCTGGGTTAACAATTGGACTCAATCTTAAAGGTCTTTTCCAACCTAAATGATTCTATGATTCTACCCTTTTTTCCAGCACACTTACTAGCCTGGGTTTTCCCAAATCTTCATGCAGCAGCAAAGCAAAACAAATAACAATAACAAACAAATAACAAAACAATAACAGCTCAGTGTAAATACTGCCTGGGAAAATTTGTGATCTCACATCTTCCTCCAACCCTGAGAGAATAAAAGAGGGGATTTCACATGTTTTATAGTGATTCTGCTGGACTTTTTTAGCAAGGCCTTGGCATGATCTAGAGAGGCCACTTTGTAATTAATATAGAGAAGTGCAGGACTCTCTTCCTCCTTCAGCAAACAGATGCAAGATTCTGAAATCTTAACATGCAACTTGGCAAAATAAAAGGTCTGTCTAAATGTAACAAAGAGAAATCACTAACAGTATCTCCGTGCTTTCCATTCCCTTTTATTTCTTTATGATGAAGATGAAAATAAATTATTAATAAAGGCATCTATAACTATTCAACAGGTATTAACACACAAATAGAAGCAGTTGTGGATCTGGGAAGGATTTGGGGAATCTTGTTTCACAACCAGAAGCTCTGAACTCCACAAACACCAAGAGCACCGTTCAACTTCCAGCCCTCCACCAGAGAACCTGACATCCCTCATCCTTTGCAAAACCCAGACAACCTCCTCACAGTCACCCAGCCCTACCTACTGACTGTGAGCCAGGGGCTCAAAAACAGCAGCCCAGGCACCTCTGTCATTGAAAATGCTCCACACATTAGGACTGTCTGAGATCACCAGACCAAAGTCCAAGGAGCTTCAGCCCAAGGAGCCTCAGCCCAAAGCATTTCATACACAAGGGATCCCTCAGGGCCACAGACCTAAAGAGCTGACAAAGATGACAGGAAAAGGTGTTAAAAACAGGGAACTCTGAGGGAAACCTGCTAATGTGAACAGAAGTCACTGAGAGATGTAACTTACTAGAAAAAGTTGCTTTCAGCAAGTACATGTTTTCTGACTTAAAAAGAAATATACATTCCTCTGCAAATTCTCTGTCCAGCACAACACTTAGAAATCCTAAGTCTTTCTTACACAGGAAAGGACTTTTCTCCCCATTCCTGAGGACTTAAATCAGTGTCATACGCACATAATAGACAAGCACACATCATGAAGACACTGCTACTGCAGCACAATTACAGTTTTTTAGACTAGCTTGCATCACTCAGTTTTAAGTCAAGAAAAAATAAATATTCACAACAGAAGCATCTGTTTTGAAACATAAAGAACTGTACCAGCATAAGCCACCCATATCCTAATTTCCTTAAAATACGGTGTGAAACAGGGTCTGGTTTGGGTTGGAAAGGACCATAAAGATCACCTGCTTCCAACCCCCTGCCATGGGCAGGGACACCTTCCACCAGATCAGGTTGCTCCAAGCCCCATCCAACCTGGCCTTGCACACTCCCAGGGATGGGACATCCACAACTTCTCTGGGCAACCTGTTGCAGTCCCTCACCACCCTCACAGTGCTTCAACCTCACCCCTCTTTGCAGTAACTTAACAAATCTACAAACAGCATTGTTCTGGAAGTCCTGTTCTGTCGTTTCCACAAATATGACTTCACCAAAGTACATCAATGCACATGGGGACTTGCTAGAAGATCACAGTATGAACATACAGCGAAGCCCCTGCAGGCACACCTTGTGCCAGCCAGAAAAAGCCACCATGACCATGCTAGAGTGTGCTGCAATCGCATTTTCACTTTTAAACACACACCTATCCTTAGGGTGATTATCCCTCTCCATGGGCACTAGAATTTGTTTTTTAAGAGTAACATATAACAGGTAACTAACTAGCTATGCAAGATCAAAGCATTAATGTACTACCCATAAAAAAAAATAAAATTAGCAACACCAACATCTCAGGGCTTACACAAAAGGGAAAGGGTCCTTTAAAGGAACTTAGCAAAGTACTGTGCAATTCATCCAGAAGATGAAAAAAGTCTCAGTCTGGTGCAGTTCTCCCTCTTCCTTTTGATTTTTTTTTTTGGTAGGGTAAAGGCATCCCAAAATGTGCTCTAGCTCGCATGCCATCTGTCCTGCATAATTTTGGGTGGGAGGGAAAAAGCAGTACAAGCTCTTAAATATGTAGTCTCCGCATCACAACAGGAAAAAGCGAAGGATATAAGAGCTGCTTATAAGCTATAAAAAAAAGTAATGCCAGCACCCTGAGTTGGAAGACAGGAATGGCATCAGACAAATCTTAGCTTACAGTAAACTCCCAAACTCCAATATGCAGCGCTGCATTCTCCACCACAGTTTCTCTTCCTTCCCCACAGCCATATAATCCATCAGTCCCTCTTGTTTCACTGCTAAGTTCTTTCCCAGGCTTTTGCTTATCCTTCTTTCTTGTTATACACACTCCTCATACCCATTTTCCGTCTCTCCCCTTTCAAACACCATGTCTGCTTCATGGGGTCTTCTTCCATGTCTTATCCTCCAGGGCATTCACACAAACACCCCAACTCATCTATGTGACAGAAGGAGACTCCTGACTCTTCACTTCCAGCCTCTTTCTTCTCCACCACTCTGTGCCTACACATATTCCCTCTATCCATTAAACACCCAATCTCTCCTGTCCTCTACCCCAAATAATTTCATCTATCTCCTCATTCCCTGTGCACCCAGTCCTTCCACACACAACCACAAACATCCTCACACACCTGCCCCACACCGTGCAGAGTTCCAGTCCCTCATGCACTAACTCAATCACATCCAGAGCATCCCTCCCATCCTGCACAGCTCTTTTCCCCCATTCATCTCAGTCTCTCCTACCCCATTTCTGTCTCACCTTGCACAGCACACTGTCCTCCTATCCATGCACTAACTCTCCCATTTCCACTCTGTGCAGCACTAGTTCCACCATCCTTTTCCACCCTTTGCACAACACACTTTTCCACAGTCTTTCCCTCGCATCCCTTTGCACAGCACTCTGTCCCCTACACATTGTCCTTATCTCCCAGCACACACTCCTCCATGCAGCATCCCCATAACCTCACCCTCTGGCACAGCATCCCTGTCCCTACACTGCCCACAGCCCCCTCACCCCTGTGCCCTATCCCTGACCCCACAGAATCACAGAATCAATTAGGCTGAAAAAGACCTTTGAGTTCATTGAGTCCAACCTGTGACCCAACACCATCATGTCAAGCAGATCATGGCACTGAGTGTCACATCCAGTCCCTCCTTAAACACCTCCAGGGATGGTGACTCCACCACTGCCCAGAGCAACCCATTTCAGTGTCTAATCACCCTTTCTGCGAAGAATTTCTTCTTAATGTCCAACTAAACCTGCCCCAGCACAGCTTAAGACTATGTCCAGCTTAAGGCTATGTCCTCTCATCCTGTTACTTGTTGCCTGGGAGAAGAGGCCGAGCCCCACCCAGCTACACCCTCCTGCCAGGTAGTTGTAGAATGCTAAGGTCACCCCTGCATCTCCTCTCCCCCAGGCTAAACAGCCCCTCAGCTGCTCCTCATAGGACTTGTGCTCCAGACCCTTCACCAGCTTCATTGCTGGATTTGCTCCAGCACCTCAGTGTCCTTCCTTAATTGGAGGGCTCAGAACTGGGCACAGCACTTGAGGTGTGGCCTAAACAGTGCCCAGCACAGGGGCACTGAGGTCATTTCCCCGGTCCTGCTGGCCACACTATTCCTGCTACAAGCCAGGATACCACTGGTCTCCTTGCCCACCTGGGCACACTGCCTCCTGTTCAGCTGCTGTCAACCAGCACACCCAGGTCCTTCTCCATTGGGCTGCTCACCCTGTGCCCTGACCCCACACTGCCCACAGCCCCCTCACCCTGTCCCTGACCCCACACTGCCCACAGCCCCCTCACCCTGTCCCTGACCCCACACTGCC